AGGGATCTAATAATTAAAAAATTATAAATAAATAAATAAATAATAATAATAATAAAAAGTGGGCAGTATCCCAGAGTTCAACTTCAGTCATAACTTCTCATTTGCATTTTTGACCAGGTCACTGACAACGTAATTAACCTAGAGCCTCTGCCTGGCAGCCAAGCAAAAAGCAGAAAGCCAGCAATGTCAGCCTACATATTTCTCTCCCTATAAATTTCAAGTCATAGTAAACCTATGCCCAGAATATGGGCATAAATGTAATTACATATTCTTAACAAGCAGAGATTAAAAACAATCCAACCCTGACCTCGCTAGCTTCTTGTGCTGTTAAATAAATAATCCTCAAAGATCACAATAAAGACTTAGATTTCAGTTGGTTTCTAACAGCTTAGAAAAAAACGGCTGTGTGTTTATAGTAAAAGGCTGGCAGCCTGGCAAGATTCTTCTTCCATAAAAAATAATAGGAAAACAGCTCAGATTTCTGTGCCCCTGTTGTGAATTTTGAAAATAAAGTTCTCCACAATGTGTATAGCTACAGAGATGAATAAGGGTTTATCTTAAAGTGCTTTTAGTGCTTGTCAGGATAATCTTTAGTGTGAATAGTCTGGGTACATGAGTTTCATACTTGAAGCAAACCTACTGTAAGGTTTATTAAAGACTATCAAATTACTATACTGTGTCTTTGTTCAACTGACATTTTTTGTTATGTGTGTTTAATCTGGAATTATAGTCAGGCACACTGATGCAAGAAGATATGTACAAGAAATGCCAAAGATGCAAGTGATGCATTGAAACAAGGTATGAGAAGTCTTTTAGTGAGGTTTCATCTGATTATATTTTTAATCAAAGTAGTTGTTACCAGACAGAAATTACAGCAGTAGCACATGGCCTACCGAACTACAACTAGCTTTTCACCAACAGCTTCTGGACCACAAAATTAAACAGACAGTGCTTTATGGTCACTTTGTTGCACGAAAGCCATGAACTTTAAAATCCATAGTTAAAGCAGCCCGACTGGTAGTGGCATCACTAATGTTTTACATTTTTTATTTAACACCCGAATGAGTCTATTTAAGAAGCAGTTTAATGTTCAGTAATGGGCATGACAATGGTCTAATGTGTTTCCTAGGAGATTTCAAGTTCTCAGATCAAGAATTACTTTTGAGATCGATCACATTAATCCGAAATCTTAGCATGACCAAGAAGATCTAAAATCAATAGAAGGGCAAAATACATGTAAACATAAACAGAGAACAGTAAAACAACTTTACGGGAGTATTACTTGACAGGTACAAATTTGTCACTTCTCACCATACGAGAAAACAGTAACATTTTCTTTTGTTTCTTGCAAATATTTTTCTTTTGCTATTACAATTTAAGGACAAGTTAGTTTTTACACTTTGACACCAATCTTCAAAGGATATATATATATATATATTTCACTGTGATGAGTTCTCATAAAGCCAAAACAATGCAGCAGCTCTATAACCAGGCTATATCAAAAGGCATTAAGAGACTTCTGGGCCTGCTTTGGCTAAACAGGGATTCTTGTTCGGGTGTTTTTTGTTTTTTTTAACTGTACACCACGAACACATACACATCACTGGCCAAACACAGCTGTAAGGTCAACAGTCCATAAAAGGGGAAGTACCAGCTCCACAAGGATTTGAAGCTGAGCTGCATAGTAGTCCCCATGCCCACTGCGGTCCTGACAGCACCATGGCCCATACTCTTGCCATTATACTTCCTTGATATAAACGCATTCATGGCAGTTTGTTGTGGCTGGGTGGATGCTGCCCATACCAATAAAGTTTATCTTCCACACTTTTTTTCTTCCAACGGCAAAGCAACAACATTTTAAAAGTCTTGCGGAAGGTTTTGTTGCACAGGGCATAGCAAATAGGATTAACTGTGCTATTGACATAGCACAACCAGTAGCCCAGGTGCCATAGAGTGGAGGGGATACAGTCAGAACAAAAAGTAGACACCAGAACCATGATATTGTAAGGAGTCCAAGTGATGATAAAAGCTAGAAGAATAGCACTTAGTGTCTGTGCTGCTTTACGTTCCTTAATAAGAACCATCCTTTTGCGCTTGGTGATATGATTACTGAAGCTAGGGTCCATGCTACGCAAAGAGTGTGCTTTGGACATTGAAGAGCAGGGAGTGATTTTTACTTTTCTGCATCCATTATTTACTTCCTGAGAGCCATCGTCATTCACAACAATTCTAAACTTATAGGAGACACACTTTTGACTTTTCTGTGTATGTGCTTTATTTGGGGTTAAGAAGAATCTTTCACTATCATATTCATTAAGTACTGGTTGCTCTTTTGTGAGAATGTGTTTGGTTTCCTCCTCTTTTTGTGCTGCAGCTTGGTTCTTGTAGGCACCCTGGAAGACACCTTCCTTAGCATGTTTGTCCTCATCATCCGAGGAAGGGTAGCTGCTGCATGTGGTCAGCTGGTCTTCTTTCACCCACTCATTGGAAATATTGGAACTGTGGGAGATCTTGACAGTGGCAGAAGTACTGCGACTGGATGATGACCAAGAAGCCTGACACCGCTCTCTTTTGGTGAGAGGTTGCTGCTTGCAGCTAAAGCAGGATTTAAGTAGAGCTCCTTGTGGCCTTATCATTTCAAAATCTGCCACTGATTCAGAACCTTGAAGCTCAGCCAGATCTTTGGTGCGCTTCTCTGTCTCCTTATAGATACGGCAGTACAGAATGGTCATCACTGACACTGGAATGTAAAAGGCAGCAATGGCCGTGCCGAAGGTAATTATTGGTTCATACAGGAACTGTATTTGACATTCCTCTGAGGGCACTGTGCGTTCTCCTACAAAATACTGCCAACAGAGGATAGCAGGGGCCCACAGGATGAAAGAAATTAACCAGGCCAGTCCAATCATAATCCCAGCTCTCTTAGGTGTACGCTTTGCTCTGTATGTTAATGGTCTTGTTATAGAAAAATACCTGTCAAAACTAATGACCAGCAGGTTCATCACTGATGCATTACTTGCTACATAATCCAAAGCAAGCCACAGATCACATGCCAGGCTGCCTAGGGACCAGTGGCCAATCAAAATGTAGGAAGTGTACAGATTCATGGAGAATATGCCAATAATGAGGTCTGCACAGGCAAGGCTTAGAAGGTAATAGTTGTTCACAGTCTTCAGCTGACTGTTTACCTTAAATGACACCATCACTAGGATATTGCCCACAATTGTGATGAGACTAACTACGGCGCTGACTGTGGCAATAGTAATAACCTCCCACAGGCTGTGAGCTTTGAGAGCATTTGTCCCGTTAGTGGGGTTCAGAGTGGTGGAGTTTGGATCCATAGTCCTCCCTTATCCTAACAATGTTGACAATGACCAGCTAAGCAGGATCTGAAATAGAAAAAAACAGTTACATTCGTATTATGATATATAGACAGACTGATGTAATAAAGTTTTGTCCTATTACATAAAAGGATTTAAAAAAAACTGTAGTTGCACAAAATATAAATATGTTGCACAAAAATTTTGAAAACAAATGTGCATGCAATATATCGACAATGCATAAATCGCTATATTAAAAACCAGAGAACGTATGCAACAAAAATATATTTAAATCGAATCTGTAATATTCTAGCTAGCAATATAATAGTGAGACTCTATAGTAGGTGCCATAAGGTACCTGCTCCTATCCTCTAGTGCTATCTTTGTGCCTGGTCTGCCTCTGCAGCTCCCTGAAAATCCTACCTATATACTGATTTGCTTAAATTTGGCATTTGCATAAAGCTAGCTATGCCCCCCACCCCAAACACACACACATATCCCCACGTGACAGTCCTTAGGCCTAGTGAGAGGTAGTGAGGGTAGTTCAGAAACCAAGCACTGCATTGTGTAAGGGGAAATATGCATGTGTACCACATATCCAGAGATTTGGATTTTCCATGTGACTCCAAAATGGGATTAAAGAGTCAGTCAGCACTGGAAAGGAAGGAATGACTTAATGAGTCATGGCACCTGCTGTACAGCCTCAAAGCCAGTAAACATTTAGCGTAGAAGAGACATACACACACACACATGCGTGTGCATGCACGCACACACACACACACACACACACACACACACACATGCATACCAATCAAACAGCTATAACTGTAACACCACCGCAGGTTCTGGATAGTACTGTAAGGAAAGTCTCCTAGGCTCCTTTTTTTTATATAAATGTACAGTTCTTAAATGATCAGAAAAGTCAAATGGATTGAATAAAACTGAAAACAATCACAAGGACAGCTAATTCTGGAAAGAGTATCCTGCATTTCATACAAAATCAGTATAAAGTCCATGTCCACTGCACTCTGTTGGTTAGTACTAGTTCTCATGAGAGTTTCCACAGATAAAGGGTTTCCAGACACAAGTTTTTAAGCAATACACAAATATTAATCACAGTTTGTTTTATTACAGATTATATTAAAACTAGGCTTTCAACTAAGAAAGTAGTCATATGGGCAAATGACAACAAAAGGGAACCTTTACTAACTGAATATGGATGCTGTCACTAGTGACCTCTTGTTTTGAAAATGACAATTCTCTGGCTGTCAACTTGATCTAGTGACTTTAGCATTTTATGAGGCCCCAGCCTGGAGCAGGTATTCAGACCTGCAGTTCTGTTTTCACTTTGACAGGCTAATTTGCAAGGTTGTTTTTGGTCAGTTTCTTAGCAATGACTGAAGCCACAGACAATCGTACCGTTAGCATATTTGACCTTTTTCTGGTAATAAAGGCCAACTTCAGGGGAAGGAAGAAGTATTTTTTTTTTGAGGAAGTGGTAAAGGAAAATACTATCTAACTGAGGATTAGAAGTGAAGGAATTAAAAGAGAATATGTGGAACCAACTTGGAAGCAGAGAAGGAAAAAATGATACAAAGAAAAGAAAAGCCCCAGACAAGTACACAATTGCAGAAGAAATGTTGATAAATAAATGCTAAACACTGTGAAATAGATAAGGCTCACAACTCAACATAATCTCATTATATGGTATAGCACAAAGTATTGAAGTTCTACTTTCTTCTCACCTTCCTTTACATATTTAAAACATAATCCTATGATTCCGGCAGAATACTGACCACTTAGGTACTCCCAACCTGGCAAAGGTGGTAAACCTACTAACTAAAAATGAGACTCTATGCTCATTATGAGAAATTCCGAAGTATGAAAACTAAGCTTGCCTGACCCCTTTTTAAAGGCAAATCTACTCTCAAAACTTTTACATTTTATGAAAACAAATGGAGAAGCTGAGAAGTTAGAGAATATTACTCCTGCCTTCTCTAAGAATGTATTCCTGACAAACATCACACAATTTCTTTTTGTGCTTGCTGTATCGTTAAAAAACTGTCACTAAGACCCTCACACTACAAAACTGGTCTCAGTTTTCTATTAGCATGTAAACGCTGCCTCTTTCCATTGTTATGTGATCAGATGGGAAGAAGATCTATTCACAAATAAACCACTGAAGAATTATATTAGATCTGGACCAGAATATGTGAATGTAGTAAAATATTACAACCGTGGAATTTGCATATAACGTATTAACTAGGTGATGCTTTGTTCCTTCCTAGACCTCCCGGGCTGTCCTGGAATACTCTAGCAAGTGAATTCTGCATAGGCCTGATCAGATACATGTTAAAAAAATCTTCCTTGCTTGTGATTGGGCATTCTTTGCAAAGCGACTTTTTACCATGAAACATGAAAATTCCATTGCGAAGTGAATTAACTATTTGCTTTTAGTTAATCTATCCTTGAAGTCCTTGAAAGTATGAACACCCTGGTTGTTGCACACTCACCCACATATCATCTGATGTCTGTTACATACATTCATGAAAACTAGATCTGTTTCAGAGTACTGCCTTTATTTTTTTTTAGCTATTGTGTGTCTAACATAAATCTCTTTGCTATGTTTGAAACAATATAGGAAACACATACAAACCATGCATCTGCATTCATGCCATATTGCAGAAGTATATGCATAAACATTTTTTTGCTCTAACTCACTCGCTGCCACTGCATCCTGGGGTGTTGGCCTCAACAGGAGGGTTCATGTTACCCTCCATTGACTGTGCAAGTAAGTGAAAGCACTGGAGTCCAAATACGATCCATAATTCTACTTTGTTCTTTAAAAGCCAAAATCTAGTACATCATAGCAACAAGATGCTAACACATTTTGGCAATACAAGCTTTAGTCATAGCCCATGACTTAGCCTTGTACAGGCGAAATGTTTTACCATCTTTTTGTTGTTATGTACTAGATGTTGGCTTTTAACTAATAAAGAGGAATTATAGATGGTACCTAGGCTCAACGTTTTTAGTTACTTAAATAGTCTATATAAAATCAAGAAACAATCTAACTTCATACGGGCAGGTAAACAGGGCCGTCTTTAACGCAGGGCAAAAGGGGCAGCTGCCAGGGCCCACTCATTGGTGTGGGGCCCAAAGCAGCAGCCCCTTAAGCAGGTCCTGCGCTGCAAAACTCTTACCACTGGCCCTGCATCTCAGCACTGAAACACTGAGAGCAGAACGCTGAATGATCACAGAGCGGGTCACATGGAGAGAAGAGCTGGGTGGATTCCCTCCATGCTATGTGTTTGTATGTGTGTGCTGGAGGGGGCGGCTCTGCTATGACCTGGACACCGATGTTCACTGGCCTTTGCACCTGGATGGAGGAGAGGGAGCCTGCCGGGTGAGGGAACTACAGCCTGAATCAGGGTAGCATGAACGGTGGGTGTCTGATGGGGAGGCCCTGCGTGTCTGTACTGGCTGCTGCATGCTGCATGTGTGTATTAGGGAACATTGAACGTCTGTATGTGATGGGGATCACTACATGCTTTCCATGTACATATGATGGGGACACTATATGCTAATGCTAGCGTAAGGCTGCATAGACAATCGTCTGAGGGCACTTGGGGTGAAAAATGCATAGTGTTGCTCCGCCCCTGTCGTATAGGCGTATGCATAGGTGAAATTGTATGGCGGGAGTTGGTTAGGGGGTGGGTAGGAGTGAGGGGCCCAAGAAAATATTTGCCCAGGGTCCAATCAGTATTAAAGACGGCCCTGCAGGTAAATGTAGAAACTAACTTAACCACAACCCATTCAATGGAAATATGGCACTTAAAATGGAGTGATACATTTTGTCCTGTGCAGAATATACAAATTTATTAATATAATGTCTTGCTTCTGAAACAATGCATCCCTCCCAGAGTATTTACACACACACACACACACACACACACACACACACACACACACACACTTAAAATACAATTAGCCTATGCAGTGGATTTGGTGTGGCAAGTTTTTTGAGGAGGCAAGGAGCATTGTTCGAACTGAAAGAGTCTAAGCCAGAATCAATACTTAGCTACTAAATCCGTATGTCATTCCACTAGTTGCTCTATTTCCTTGGCACCTTATAGCAATGGAATAATGTGAGATTGGGTTCAAGAAAAGTAATCTACTGGAAACTGTAGCTGCAAACATCAAGTTCAGTACATCTTATACAGATGGCTTATACAATAATCAGTTGCTTCCTGTGACATTATTCTGACACTTATCTTTGCAACATATTACTGTATGTTTCCACTCTTGGCCTTTAGTGTTATCTTCTACATTTAGAGGTCCATGTTCATTTTAGATGTCACCATATTCACAATATGTGCCTTTTACTCAAACACTGGGAGATATAGGAATAATTTCCTCCCACGCTTTGTCCATTAATGATGCACCATTTACGAAGAAAGCAAGCAGAAAAAGCAAGGTAAACTGTTATAATGTGTCAATAAATGGTAAATGATCCATACAAAAGGGAATTCCAATTTAACGCATAGATAACGTGCTGACTGAGGATGATACATTGCCTAGTGTCCTGAAAAATTACCTTATTTACATTGGAGATAACCGTAAGGAGGATACACTATATTATGTGTTGCGTGAATCATAGTTCGAAGTAACATCTCCAGCAGTGGAATATACACCACCTGTTGCTGCAGTCACACATGACTCTATATTCCACTATAAATTAGAAAGCAAGAGGTCAATAAGTACTTATGGTCTTCATCTTCCGCTGTAAAAATACACATTTTAGTTAAAGAATGTGCTATAGCTATTACTAGATGACCTCCCAAATTCTCTGGTAACTTCTAGTTAAAGAACAAAGCTACTTAGTCCTGCTTCATATAGAGTATAATTCATTTTTTTTACCATTAAGGTTGCTTAGGAATCAGTAACACTGTAACCCTGCATCAAAAAACAATGTATGGACTATTTTGGTCCAATCACATCCATGTTAAAATGTCATAGAAGCCTCTGTGATGGTGCAATATTTATGTACTTGTTTAGGGGATGATATAAACCAGTGTTTCTCAACCTTTTTTAAGTCATGGTACCCTTTAAAAGTATGCAAAAGCGCGAAACACTCCAGTTTAAAATTTCATAGATTTTAAGGGGGACCCCACACAAAAAAGTGGATTCTCCCCTTCACGTCGAAGTGCCCCCTTCAAATCAAGACTCCCCCCTTTCACATTAGTGTCACCCTTTGCATCAGTAGTCCCTCTTTCATATCAGAATTTCCCCTTTACATCAGGAATCCCCTTTCACCTCAGTTTTCATTCACCCATCATAGTCCCATTTCCACAAAATTTTGAGGCACCCCTGAGGAAGCCAGAAGGCACACCAGGGTGGCATGGGCACCCTGGTTGAGAAAAGCTGATATAAACAACCCCTCTACAAGAATATCCCACCCTCTGGAATGACATGCATTATGCTTGTGCTAATGGGTAAAAGCTCATAAGTATCGCATGTAGCACATGCAAACACAATAATCTCTGCTTTGAAGCCCTATCTGGCTGACCACACGTAAGGACTCATCTCAACTCCCTTATTATATTGCTGTCACAATACAAACTGCAGCCACAGATCACGTCATTCCAGCGTTTCGGCAAACTTTTTCCATCCAGGTGGTTTAGAGGAACCGTGAACAAGATCCTCCTGCACTGATGTATTTTACCTTACGAACTTAATCAACGAGACCAGTTGTTGGTCTCTACAATTAAGCAAATTGAATGAATTGAAGCATGTTCCCTGCCAGCAGATGTACACGAAGCAGAGCCCAAATGTCTCCTAATGTGGCCTATATTTCTTTCATTCAGAGAGCTTCTGTGAAGCAAATTACAAAAGGCTGATTTCAAAACAATATCTTGTAGTTTTGCTAGTTATATATAAAACATGTTTTTTTTTCTAATTATATGGGGTTTGCAGGCTGAAGGAGGAATCAGACTCGCACCTCCATAATTTATTCAATGCTGCACACCACAATGCAAGGATGGTTCACTACAGCGCAGGTGTATTTTGCTGTACTATATATACTGTTGGAGGAATTTATCAAGGCAGTTGCTCCACTTTTCTGTCCTATCTCTTTAAGTGACACATTTTCCATGTTATTTGCACCTTATTTATCAATGCAGTCTAAGCCTTGACATGGAATGACATGCATTATGACAAGGAATTCCTTGACATGGAATGACATGCATTTTCATTAGACATATAAGGGGGAATCTATCATAGCAATTACGAATGTTTCAACTTGCACAGAATATATTTGCACCAGATTTATGATGCTAGTGTAATGTTGTTTATAAATGAGGTTTAATAGACTCCAGGAAAGAAGACGCTGAATGTGACCTGTACATTGCCCCCTCATCTCCATCTTCCCCCCCGCTGTATGTGGCCTGTATAATGCCCCCTCATCTACATCCCCCTCCCACAGTATGTGACATGTACAATAATGATGCGCTGTATCTTGTGCACCATTACCAAGCTTCATGTTGTACCCCATCAATACCTGCATTTTCCAAACAATTGTGGTAACAAATTAGATCACTTCAAGCAGTGGCGTCCCGAGGGTGGGTGTCACCCGGGGGCAGGGGCCGGGTGACACCCCGCCGTGACATCATCATGCACGCGCGTGATGTTGCCGTGCGTGCACGATGACTTATTTTTTACGCCTGCCGGCGGCCCTCTTGGTGATGGACGCTGTCAGAGGAGGTGACGTTCACCCGGCGGGATAAGGTATGCCGCCGTGTCCCCTCCTCTCTCCTGACACTGTCGGGCTCTCGGTCCGTGACCGAGTGCCTGACATTTCATAAGGGGTGACACCAAAATGACTGTCAGTCATTTTGGTGTCACCCGGGTGCGGGCCGCACCCCCCCAACCCTTGTGAGGCCACTGACTTCAGGGTGTCTCCATTCCAAAAAGGCATTTTGGGGGATGTTCGTACTGTCCTGACTAGGGATGCACTGATACCGGTAACAGTGCCAATACTGGGCATTTTCATGAGTACTCCTTTGTCCTGATACTAAACACTTATACAAGCATATAAAATGTTTAAAAAGAAGCAGTTGCCTAAGGTCCTGGGCTTGCTGGGGACCTTGGTAGCCTTCCTGTGAACCACACAGCACCTGTTTACAGCACCTGCCCACACATCTCCTCCTCCTTACTGGAGAACCTTGCAGTCTTGCTTAGAGCACTTCCGCTGAGACCCTCCAGACCCCTACTGAGACCCTTGAAACCCCTGCTGAGTTCCTCCAGAGCCCTGCTGAGACCTTTCACAGCCCTGTTAACACCCTCCATAGCCCTGCAAGAGACTCTCTGGACCGCTGCTGAGGCCCTCCACAGCCCTGCTGCTAAGACCCTCCAGAGCCCTCCTGAGACCCTGGAGACATCAGGCTGGCATCAGAGCAGCACATAGTATGTAGCTTAATATTAGTCTGCATTGCTGTATAATACATTGCTGATATTTGTAGTCCTCTATAGCTGATGGTATTATTCTGCTTTGCTGTATAATGTATTTCTGGGATTTGTAATCCTCCATAGCTGGTGGTATTCTACATTGTTGTAAAATGTATTGATGGGATTGTAGTTTTCTATAGCTGGTGGTATTCTACATTGTTGTATAATGTATTGCTGGGATTTGTAGTTCTGTAGCTGGTGGTATTCTGCATTGCTGTATAAAGTATTGCTGGGATTTGGAGTCCTCTATAGTTGGTGGTATTCTACATTGCTGTATAATGTATTGGTGGGGATTTGTAGTCCTCTATAGCTAGTGTTATTCTACATTGCTGTATAATGTATTGATGGGATTGTAGTTCTCTATAGCTGGTGGTATTCTACATTGTTGTATAATGTATTGCTGGGATTTGTAGTTCTCTATAGCTGGTGGTATTCTGCATTGCTGTATAAAGTATTGCACCATCGTCCCAAAATCATTAGTCTGTATTGTTTTAGAAAAACTGTCAGATGACACTAAAAAAAAGGTATCAGTAATTGGTATTGGCGAATATTTGAGGAAAAGTATCGGTACTTGTACTCGGTCAGGAAAAAATGGTGTCAGTGCATCCCTAGTCCTGACATTTTTTATGTTTTATAACAGAATGTAAGGGAATGTTTTTTTTCCATAAAATGTTTTGCCTATTTTTCATTTACAGTTAAAAATAAAAATCCAGTGGTTATAAAATACCACCAAAAAGCTCTATCGGTCTCAAAATTGATTTACAATCAGAGTACAGTGTTGCATAGCTAAATAAGCTCCCATTCACACTGGTTGTGCACAAAATCACACAATAAAAGACACCGCACATCATGTGTGACTCGGGCCCAACAGTCAATCAAAGTATGACAGCACTGAAAACTGGTCTGGTCATGAAGTGG